AGTAGTTTTCTGGTAGCATATTTAGGATTCTCTGTGTATGGTATCAGGTCATCTGCAAACAGTGACAGTTTTACTTCTTTTACGATTTGGGTTCCTTTTATTTCTTTTTGTTCTCTGATTGCTTTGGCTAAAAATTCCAAAACTATGTTGAATAATAGTGGTGAGAGTGGGCAGCCTTGTCTTGTTCCTTATCTTAGTGGAAGTGGTTTCAGTTTTTCACTGTTGAGAACAATGCTGGCTGTAGGTTTGTCATATATGGCCTTTATTATGTTGAGGTAAGTTCCCTCTATGCCTTCTTTCTGGAGGTTTTATATCATAAGTGGGTGTTGAATTTTGTCAATAGCTTTTTCTGCATCTATTGAGATGATCATATGGGTTTTATCCTTCAGTTTGTTAATATGGTGTATCACATTGATTGATTTGTGTATATTGAAGAATCCTTGCATTCCTGGGATAAACCCCACTTGATCACGGTGTATGATCCCTTTAATGTGCTGTTGGATTCTGTTTGCTAGTATTTTGTTGAGGATTTTTGCATCTATGTTCATCAGGGATATTGGCCTGTAGTTTTCTTTTTTTGTGACATCTTTTTCTGGTTTTGGTATCAGGGTGATGGTGGCCTCATAGAATGAATTTGGGAGTGTTCCTCCCTCTGCTATATTTTGAAAGAGTTTGAGAAGGATAGGTGTTAGCTCTTCTCTAAATGTTTGATAGGATTCGCCTGTGAAGCCATCTGGTCCTGGGCTTTTGTTTGTTGGAAGATTTTTAATCACAGTTTCAATTTCAGTGCTTGTGATTGGTCTGTTTATATTTTCTATTTCTTCCTATTTCAGTCCCGGAAGGTTGTGCTTTTTTAAGAATTTGTCCACTTCTTCCAGGTTGTCCATTTTATTGTCGCAGATTTGTAGTAATCCCTCATGATCCTTTGTATTTCTGCAGTGTCAGTTGTTCCTTCTCCTTTCTCATTTCTAATTCTATTGATTTGAGTCTTCTCCCTTTTTTTCTTGATGAGTCTGGCTACCGGTTTATCAGTTGTGTTTATCTTCTCAAAGAACCAGCTTTTAGTTTTATTGATCTTTGTGATTGTTTCCATCATTTCTTTTTCTTTTATTTCTGATCTGAACTTTATGATTTCTTTCCTTCTGCTAACTTTAGGGAGTTTTTTGTTCTTCTTTCTCTAATTGCTTTAGGTATAAGGTTAGGTTGTTTATTTGAGATGTTTCTTGTGTCTTGAGGCAGGATTATATTGCTGTAAACTTCCCTCTTAGAACTGCTTTTGCTGCATACCATAGGTTTTGGGTCATCGTGTTCTGACTGTCATTTGTTTCTAGGTATTTTTTGATTTCCTCTTTGATTTCTTCAGTGATCTCTTGGTTATTTAGTAATGTATTGTTTAGCCTCTTTTTCTATCCCCTCTCTTTCAGTCTGTATGTGTCCCTAGGTCTGACGTGGATCTCTTGTAGGCAGCGTATATACACAGTCTTGTTTTTGTATGTATTCAGCCAGTCTATGTCTTTTGGTTGGAGCATTTAATCCATTTACATTTAAGGTAGTTATCGATATGTATGTTACTGTTACCATTTTCTTAATTGTTTTGGGTTTGTTATTGTAGGTCCTTTCCTTCTCTTGTGTTTCCTGCCTAGAGAAGTTCCTTTAGCATTTGTTGTAAAGCTGGTTTGGTGGTGCTGAATTCTCTTAGCTTTCGCTTGTCTGTAAAGGTTTTAATTTCTCCATCGAATGTGAATGAGATCCTTGCTGGCTACAGTAATCTTGTTTGTAGGTTTTTCCCTTTCATCACTTTGAATATGTCCTGCCACTCCCCTCTGGCTTGCAGAGTTTCTGCTGAAAGATCAGCTGTTAACCTTATGGGCATTCCCTTGTATGTTATTTGTTGCTTTTCCTTTGCTGCTTTTAATATTTTTTCTTTGTATTTAATTTTTGATAGTATGATTAATATGTGTCTTGGTGTGTTTCTCCTTGGATTTGTCCTGTATGGGGCTCTCTGTGCTTCCTGGACTTGATTGACTATTTTCTTTCCCATATTAGGGAAGTTTTCAACTATAATCTCTTCAAATATTTTCTCAGTCCCTTTTTTGTTCTCTTCTTCTTCTGGGACCCCTATAATTCGAATGTTGGTGTGTTTAATGTTCTCCCAGAGGTCTCTGACACTGTCCTCAATTCTTTTCATTCTTTTTTCTTTATTCTGCTCTGCAGTAGTTATTTCCACTATTTTATTTTCCAGGTCACTTATCTGTTCTTCTGCCTCAGTTATTCTGCTATTGATTCCTTCTAGGGAATTTTTTATTTCATTTATTGTGTTGTTCATCATTGTTTGTTTGCGCTTTAGTTCTTCTAGGTCCTTGTTAAACCTGTCTTTTATTTTCTCCATTCTATTTCCAAGATTGTGGATCATCTTTACTATCATTACTCTGAATACTTTTTCAGGTAGACTGCCTATTTCCTCCTCATTTGTTTGGTCTGGTGGGTTTTTACATTGCTCCTTCATCTGTGTCTTTCTCTGTCTTCTCATTTTGCTTAACTTACTGTGTTTGGGGTCTCCTTTTCTCAGGCTGCAGGTTTGTAGTTCCCATTGTTTTTGGTGTCTGCCCCTAGTGGGTCAGGTTGGTTCAGTGGGTTATGTAGGCTTCCTGGTGGAGGGAACTGGTGCCTGTGTTCTGGTGGATGAGACTGGATCTAGTCTTTCTGGTGGCCAGGACCGCGTCTGGTGGTGTGTTTGGGGTGTCTGTGAACTTATTATGATTTTAGGCAGCCTCTCTGCCAATGGGTGGGGTTGTGTTCCTGTCTTGCTAGCTGTTTGGCATAAGATGTCCAGCACTGTAGCTTGCTGGTTGTTGAGTGAAGCTGGGTCTTAGCGTTGAGATGGAGATCTCTGGGGTAGCTTTTGCCGTTTGATATTATGTGGAGCTGGGAAGTCTCTGGTGGTACAGTGTCCTGAACTCGGCTCTCCCACGTCAGAGGCTCAGGCCTGACACCCTGCTGGAGGACCAAGAGCCTGTCAGCCACTCGGCTCAGAAGAAAAGGGAGAAAATAAAAAAAAAGAATAAAGTAAAATAAAGTTATTAAAATTAAAAAATTATTAAAATTAAAAAGTAATAAAAAAGAGAAAGAGGGCTTCCCTGGTGGCACAGTGGTTGAGCGTCCACCTGCCAGTGCAGGGGACACGGGTTCATGCCCCGGTCTGGGAGGATCCCACATGCCGCGGAGCGGCTGGGCCCGTGAGCCATGGCCGCTGAGCCTGTGCATCCGGAGCCTGTGCTCCGCAACGGGAGAGGCCACAACAGTGAGATGCCCGCGTACCGCAAAAAAAAAAAGAAAGAAAGAACAACCGAACTGAAAAACAAATCCACCAATGGGAACAAGCGCTAAAAACTAAACAAAAAAAAAAAAAAAAGGACAGACAGAACCCTAGGACAGATGGTAAAAGCAAAGCTATACAGACAAAATCACACAAAAAAGCATACACATACACACTCACAAAACGAGAAAAAGGAAAAAATATATATTTAAAAAAAAAGGAAGAGGGCAATCAAATCAGTTAACAAATCTACCACTGATAATAAGCTCTAAATCCTAAACTAAGATAAACATAAAACCAGAAACAAATTAGATGCAGAAAGCAAACACAAGTCTACAGTTGATCCCAAAGTCCACTGCCTCAATTTTGGGATGGTTTGTTGTCTATTCAGGTATTCCACAGATGCAAGGTACATCAAGTTGATGGTGGAGATTTGGTCCGCTGCTCCTGAGGCTGCTGGGAGAAATTTCCCTTTCTCTTCTTTGTTCACACATCTCCCTGGGTTCGGCTTTGGGTTTGGACCCGCCTCTGCGTGTAGGTCGCCTGAGGGCGTCTGTTCCCCGCCCAGACTGGACGGGGTTAAAGGAGCAGCTGATTAGGGGGCTCTGGCTCACTCAGGCTGGGCGGAGGGAGGGGTACGGAATGCGGGGCGAGCCTGCAATGGCAGAGGCCAGAGTGACATTGCAACAGCCTGAGGCATGCTGTGTGTTCTCCCAGGGAAGATGTCCCTGGATCACGGGACCCTGGTTGTGGTAGGCTGCACAGGTTCCCGGGAGGGGAGGTGTGGACCTGTGCTTGCACACAGGCTTCTTGGTGGCTGCAGTAGCAGCCTTAGCGTTTCATGCCCGTCTCTGGTGTCTGCGCTGATAGCTGCGGCTCGTGCCCTCTTTTGGATCTCATTTAGGCAGTGCTCTGAATCCCCTCTCCTCACGCACCCGGAAACAATGGTCTCTTGCCTCTTAGGCAGTTCCAGACTTTTCCGGGACTCCCTCCCTGCTAGCTGTGGCTCTCTAGCCCCCTTCAGGCTATGTTCACGCAGCCAACCCCAGTCCTCTCCCTGGGATCTGATCTCTGAAGCCCGAGCCTCAGCTCCCAGCCCCCGTCCGCCCCAGCGGGTGAGCAGTGGAGCCTCCTGGGCTGGTGAGTGCCGGTCGGCACCAATCCTCTGTGCAGGAATCTCTCCACTTTGCCCTCTGCACCCCTGTTGCTGTGCTCTCCTCAGTGGCTCCCAAGTTTCCCCCCCACCCACTGTCCGTCTCCGCCAGTGAAGGGGCTTCCTAGTGTGTAGAAACTTTTCCTTCTCCACAGCTCCCTCCCGGAGGTGCAGGTCCCGTCCCTATTCTTTTGTCTCTGTTTATTCTTTTTTCTTTTGCCCTACCCAGGTAAGTGGGGAGTTTCTTGCCTTTGGAGAAGTCTGAGGTCTTCTGCCAGCGTTCAGTAGGTGTTCTGTAGGAGTTGTTCCACATGTAGATGTATTTTTGATGTATTTGTGGGAAGGAAGGTGATTTCCACGTCTTATTCCTCTGCTATCTTGAAGGTTCTGCCAACATAAATGTATTTTGAAAAAATTTTTTCACTTGTGGGAAGTGAAGCTTTCTAAATCTGCTTTTGACAACTGATCCCTGATATTCATGCAGTTCTATAATATGTTTCTCATCATCTTTATTTGCTTTGTTTTTCCCAGGTGAGAGAAACGATGTTGTCCAGGTTTAAAATAGTTGCCACTCCTTGTACTCTGGCATGTCGTCATTTGCACATAAAAGAGAAAGGCAAGCCACTTATGTTGAACCCAAGAACAAACAAGGTTAGTAACATTAATACTAACACACATTTTCTCTCTTCCTGGTAAAGGTTTGATATATTTTAGACTGATAAAGTATGAAATTTTTGTGTTCTGTAGCTTTATACTAAAACTATTCGGAAGTGTGCATGAACTTTTCTCTTTTCTCCGCATTGCGACAATTATGGCTGCTTTATACCTCCCAAATTTCACCCTCACAGTTTCTACCACCCAAGAAGGATTGAGTTTATTTCCTAGTTCTAGCTCAAAAGCAAAACAAAACAAAAACCCAAGAGTAGCATATTGGCCAGAACTGTTGGCCAGATGCAGTATATTTAGATTTATCCCGTTTAGTCATATTGTCATTTTTATAAATGTTTGGTAATTTCCTAATCCCTGATGGATTATTCTAACTGCCCTTGGAAGGAAAGAAATAGAAGGGGCCTTTTATTTCCCCCCCTAGTATGCTTACCTGCACACTGAAGAGTCTAGTTAAGGGATTTTTATCAATATTGACTTACGTGGAGAAATGGCACATATCTAAAGGAAAATAGCTCAAGATCAGCTGAAGTGTAACTGAAAGTAGGGTCCAGCTGCTTGCTGCTCACAAGCCATTAAAGAGGCAAGATTGATGGAAAGTTAAGTTTGCTTTATTTTGGATGCCAGCAACGAGATGGGGACGGCAGATGCCCGTCCAAAGGCATACACGCCCCCCACAACCAGTGGGCAAGAGCTTTCATAGGTTGAGGGAGGCGCCTACGTGCAGAAGCAGCACAGTCAGCTCTGACAGTCATCTTGACATTGGTCATCGGTGGTCCGACCAGTGTCCCCTTGATTGTTTTAGGTACAGTTAATCTTCAGTTCCAGGGTCGGTTCTCATTTCTTTGAGGCCAGTTCTCGCAATTGTGGCAGCTTATGTCATGGCTACAGCCTGGTCATCACATAGGTAACGTCTTCTACCTGGTGAGTGTTTCAGTATCTATAAGACAGCTCCCAGGATACAGCTCAGAATGTTATCTTAAGGAGGGACTAAAGGGCCTTGACTATGCTTAATGACTAAACTATTATTATTTGGTCTCCTTTGACTGTTTTCCTTTGTTTCTGCATTTTCTCACTTCTCTGATTAAACTTATTCTCTGGCTGAAGTCTTTCCACAGACAAAAGGTAGGCTGAGGACATGGGGGTGGGCAAAGACCATAGGGTCCTGCTCTGTTGCAGAGGGAGGTACACTTCTGTGTAAATTGGGAGGGCATTGCGGTTGTGTAGATGAGCAAAAGAGGTTTGGTGGAACAAGTGGCACTGGAAGACAGAAAAGAGTAGGAGAAGGACAGGTGAGAGGAAGGTTGTTTCTGCTGACTGTTACAGAGCTAATCAAGACATCTATTTTAAACTATGTTGTCTTCACTTACACCAGGCCAGCAAATTTAAGAATTTTATCAACTATTAACATAAATACTTAATACATAAAATTATTTCTTTAATAATCATTTTAATTTCTACTGTACATTATAAATAAAACACTTTTGAGTGTCTCTTAAATCTAAATAGGAGATAGGCAGTGAAACCATGTGTAGCTACTCATTTATCTTTGGCAGTAGGATAGGTAAAGCACTTTTAAATGAACACAGTTCATTTAAAACTATATAAAAATACAGAGGTTTTAACCCCTTTATATTTTCCAGCCTTAGATAAAATCTCGTAAGGAGCAACATGAGGCACAGAGGATTTAGTGATTTGAGTCTCTTCTCCCCCTTTTTTCATTGTAAAAGTTCATCAATTTTGTAGGTCTTTACAAAGAATCAACTTTTGGTTTAGTCTTTTAATTTTTCCAATTGTTTTCTTCTGTTTTATTTATTTATTTTCACTGTAATCTTTATTATTTCCTTCCGTCTTGATTCAGGTTTAGTTTGTTCCTTTTTCCCCCTCGTTTCTTAAGATGGAAGGTTAGGCAATTGATTTGAAATCATTCTGCCTTTTTAAGCTACATTTACAGCTACAAATTTCCCTTAGCATTATTTTCACTGTATCCTGTAAGTTTCGGTATGTGTGTTTTAATTCATCTGGAAGTATCTTCTAATTTCCCTGTGCTTTCTTCTCTGACCAATTGGTTTTTAGGAGTGTGTTGTTTAAGCTCAAAGTATTTGTGAATTCCCCAAATGTCCATTATTAATTTCTTTAACTTTATTTAATTAATTAATTTATTTATGTCTGCACTGGGTCTTCGTCGCCATGCGCGGGCTTTCTCTAGTTTCGGCAAGTGAGGGCTACTCTTTGTCGTGGTGTGTGGGCTTCTCAGTGCGGTGGCTTCTCTTGTTGTGGAGCACGGGCTCTAGGTGCACGGGCTTCAGTAGTTGTGGCACGCGGGCTCAGTAGTTGTGGCTCGCAGGCTCTAGAGCGCAGGCTCAGTAGTTGTGGCGCACAGGATTAGTTGCTCCGTGGCATGTGGGATCTTCCTGGGCTAGGGCTCAAACCAGTGTCCCGTGCGTTGACAGGCGGATTCTTAACCACTGTGCCACCAGGGAAGTCCCCCATTATTAATTTCTAACCTCATTGCATTGTGGTTGAAGATCATACGTTGGGTGACTTAAATCCTTTCAAATTTATTGAGACTTGTTTTATGGCCTGTCCTGGGGAATATTCCTTGTGCACTTGAAAAGAATGTGTATCCTGCTTCTTTTGAGGGGAGTGTCTGCTAGGTCTAGTTGCTTTATGGTGTTGTTCAAGTCTTCTTTTTCCGTGTTGATTTTCTATCTAGTTGTTTTCTCTATTATTGAATATGAGATATTGAAATTTTCAGCTTGTTGAATTGTCTTACTCCCTAATTCTGTCAGTTTTTGCTTCATGTATTTTGTTATCTAACAAAATATGTTTATAATTGTTGTATCTTCTTAATGGACTGATGCTTTCAGCAAAATGCCCTCCTCTAGTATCATGTTTATTTCAAAGTCTATTTTGTCTGTTACTAACGTAGCTACTCCAGCTCTCTTTTGGTTACTATTGACATGGTGTATCTTTTTCCATTCTTTTACTTTCCACCTATTTGTATCTTTGAAACTTTCCACCTATTTGTATCTTTGAATCAAAGTGTGTCTGTTGTAGTCAGCATATGATTGGATCATGTTTTTTTATCCATTCTGCCAATCCTTTTAATTATAGAGTTTAATCCATCTACATTAGTGTAATAACTAATAAGGTATGATTTATGTCTGCTATTTTGCTATTTGTTTTAAGTGTCTTATGTGCCTTTTGTTCCTCTTTACTCCATTGTTCCCTTCATTTGTATTAAATTTTCTATGATGCCATTTAAATTCCCTTGTCTTTTCTTTTCCTGCATATTTCTGAGTTATTTTCTTAGTGGTTTGTCCTGGGGATTACAATTACCATCTTTAAAACAGTCTAGTTCAGTTTGATACCAGTTTAATTTAACCAGTACACCAAAATTTTGCTCCTGTAGATTCCATCTCCTTCTTTTGTGCTGCTTCGTCATACAAATTACAGAGTACAAACTACATTTTATACATTGCATGACCGTCAACACAGATTTATAATTACTGCTTTATGTAATTGTCTTTTAAATTGGGTAGGAGAAAAAAAGACCTACAAACAAAAAGTACATTTATACTGTCTTTTATTTTATGTAGTCATTTTATCCGTGTTCTTTATTTCTTTGTGTGGATTTGAATTATTGTCTAATGTCTTTAATTTAGGCCTGAAGGACTCCCTTTAGTATTTCTTGTGAGACGAGTCTGTTAGCACTGAATTCTCTGTTTTTGTTTATCTGGAATATCTTAATTTCTCCATTTTTGAAGGATGAATTTGTAGGATTTAGAAATTCTTGGTTGACAGGTTATTTTTCTTTCAGCACTGTCTGTGGCCTCCATGGTTTCTGATAAGAAATCAGCTGTTACTCTTTTTAAGGATCCCCTGCACGTGATGAGTCACTTCTCTTTGCTTTCAGATTTCTGCTGTCTTTGGCTTTTGACAGTTTGAATATGATGTGTCTAGGGGTAGAGTTCTTTGAGTTTTTCTTGATTGGAGCTATTGAGCTTCTTGGATGTGTGGATTAATGCTTCTCATCAAATTTGGGAGGTTTTTAGCCATTATTTTTTCAAATATTCTTTAGCCTTTTCTCTCCTCACCTCTGGGCCTCCTGTTATGTACATGTTGGTACTCTTGCTGGTCTCTCAGGTCTGTTCACATTTATTCCTTATTTTTCTTTTTTGTTTGTTTGTTTTTTGTTTTTTTTTTAATTTTTCCTTTCTATTTCTCAGCCTGGATTATCTCAGCTGACCCATCTTTAAATCTGATGGTTTTTTCCTTCCACCACTGAAGTCTGCTTGTTGAGCCCCTTTAGTGAATTTTTTATTTCAGTTGTTGTAGTTTCAATTCCAGAATTTCTATTTAGTTCCTTTTTTAGCTTCTCTGTTTATCAGTATTCTCTGTTTAGTAGGATGTCATTCTCATACTTCTTTTTAGTTCATTAGACAATGGGTTTTTTTTAGTTTTTTTGATATATTTAAAATAACTAACTTTTTTCTTTTTTTAAATTGAAGTATATTTGATTTACAATGTTTCAGGTATACAGCAAAGTATATTCTTTTTCACATTCTTTTCCATTATAAATTATTACAAGATATTGAATATAGTTCCCTGTGCTGTACAGTAGGTCCTTATTGTTTATCTTTTTTTATATAGTAGTGTGTTAATCCCAAATTCCCAATTTATCCTTCCTCTAGAATAACTAATTTAAAGTCTTTGTCTAGTAAGTACAATGTTTGGGCTTCCCCAGGGGCAATTTCAATTAACTGCCCTTTTTTCCTGTATATGAGTCAGACTTTATGTGTTTTGTTGCTGTTGTTGTTTGTTTGTTTGTTTTTTGCTTGCCTTATGATTTTTGGTTGAAAACTGGGCTTTTCAAATAATGTGGCTGCCCTGGAAACCAGATATTCATTCCTCCCAGTGGTTTCTGAACGAATTCTTTCTTCTTGTTATGTATGCCTACTGAAGTCTCTGCTTTGTTAACTTAGTGATCAGCCAATGATTAAACAGAAACTTAAGTACTAGAACCATTAAATCTCCCATTCTTTGCCAGGGGGCTTTGTGTACCTGCTAGGGTGTGCCTTCAGGACTCAGCCAGGCAGTTTACAGATACGCATCAGCCTTCATTTCCTGCTTACACAGAGCCTCAAGGTTAGCCAGAGGTGGGAGTTTAGGGCTTTCTCAAGTCTTTCCTGGACATGCGTACAGCTGTGCATATGACCTTCTAGGTTCTCAGGAATATGTCTCAGCATTTCAAAGTTCCCTGTGGACATCTCCTTTCTCAGCTTTTCCTTTTCAGCTTTTTGGTTAGCCTGTTGTTTGCCCCAGCTGTTATCTACTGCCTTGGGGAGCTGCTATGTCAAATAATTGCCTCTGATTGTTTTCAACAGACCCTTCTGGCGGGAAAGGCTGTTCACACTGCCTGAGCTCCAAGTCAGGTCAAATAAAGACAGCCTTGCAGATAGGGTCTTCCAGGTCAAATAATAACAGTTTCCTGGATATGCGGCTTTAGAAGAATCTCCAAACCCTCCTGCCTTCTCCAGTGACTGCCAGGCTCTGATTTTCAAAGTGATTGTTTCACAGTGATTGCGTTTTCAAGGTTACTGTGGAGCTGGGGAGGGGAGAATAGGAACAAGGCAAGTTAAAATGCCATGAAGCTTGCTGTTCTTACTGAAATTCAGCAGTTTTGAATAAATGCTCTCCAATTGCTGAAAGCTGTGGTTAATTTCCAGAATTCTGATCATTTGGCCAAGGTTCTTGTTGCTTTTATGGAGGAAAAGATTTTTGGAAGTCCTTTCTCTGGCATTTTTAGTGACATCATTGATTAAAAAAAAAAAAAAAATTTAACCCATAGCTGAATACCAGAAACTGAAAAAGAATTTATTACATAGGTTAATTTTTCTTAAGTATCATTCTTCCTTCCCCCTCCCTCTGTTCAGCCTCACTCCTTTCCAGTCACGGTAGCCTCTTAATTTGGTTTGTGTTCTTTCAAACTGTATTCTGTTGATTTCATTTTTAATGTATGCATACATCTGTATATAATATGTACTTTATGGGGGTTTTCTAAACATAATAATTAACAGTGAATTTGATTTGATTTTCAACTTGACTTTTTCTCCTAACTGTGTATCTGGGAGATCTTTCTACTACACACTTAGAGATACATGTTTAAGTGTTTGTATGGAAATACCATAAGTTGCTAACTCTTCCATAATTGATGGACTTTTAGTTAGTTTGTAATAGGCAAGAGAACTGGAAACAATGCTACAACTAATCTCTTCACATACGCGTCTTTATATATGAATATATCTCTAGGATAACTAACTAGAAGTAGAATTGCTTTATGTGCATTCAAGATATGGAAGCGACCCAAGTGTCCATCAAAAGATGAATGGATAAAGAAGATATATGTACACACGATGGAATATCATTCAGCCATAAAGAAGAATGAAATTCTGCCATTTGCAACAATATGGATGGACCTGGAGTATTATGCTTAGTGAAATAAGTCAGACAAAGGCAAATACTGTGTGATGTCACTTATATGTGGAATCTAAAAAACAAAACAAGTGAATGGATATAACAAAACAGAAACAGACTCACAGATACAGGGTACAAACCAGTGGTTAGGAGGAGAGGAGAGGCAAGGGGAGAGGGGCAAGATAGGGGTAGAGGATTAAGAGGTACAAACTACTTTGTATAAAATAAGCTACAAGGATATATTGTATGGCCCAGGGAAATATAGTCATTATTTTATAATAATTCTAAATGGAGTTTAATCTATAAAAACATTGAATCACTATGTTGTACACCTGAAACTAATACTGTAAGTCAACTGTACTTCAGTTAAAAAAATAATAAAGTATGTGCATTTTTAAAAAATCTAAGAGTATTTCGAAATTGGCTTTCAAAAAGCCTAAACCAGTTTATATTCCAGCAATGGTATGTGAGAGTAATTCTTTTACCATACCCTCCCCAGTACTAGAGATGAACAATCTTATAAATTTATGAAAGTCTGGGCAAAAATGATATCTTGTTGATCTTTTTAAGTTTATGTTTAAATTATGTTTGGTAGGACGCACCATTGCTACCCCTGTAAGTAATACTTTTTAATCCTTTTGTTTTTTCCTTTTTAGGGGATGGCATTTACATTACAGGAACGACAAATGCTTGGTCTTCAAGGACTTCTACCTCCCAAAATAGAGACACAAGATATTCAAGCCTTACGATTCCACAGAAATGTGAAAAAGTTGAATGGCCCTTTGGAAAAGTAAGAGTTGATTAGATGTTTAGTTTTTTTATTGGTGTTCGGATCAGAAAAACTGGGAGTATTATGATTATTATCGCATGAGAAATATACAGTCTCAATGAAACTTTTGTTTTAGTCAGTTGGTTTATAATGATTGTTTCCTTCACTTATTTTCACTATTGTAAAATTCAGCAGAAATCAATATTTTATGGTTAAAATCACAGAGCATTTCAGGTTTCAATGGAATGTTAGAAGCAGAGGCTGTCACCTAATTTGCACCCATTCTATTCAATAGCTTTTATTGATCACCTACTTGGTGTGTGCCATTGCTAGCCACTGAGGATATAAACTGGGTGATAGATAGGGTGGCCATGTAATATATCGTCCAATCCCAGACACTTTGGGGAGTAAAAAAGAAGTAACTGAAACTGTCCCGGGCAAATTAGAATGTATGGCCACCGCAGTAACTCACAGCCTGCCTTCTAGGAGCTCATCAATAGATAGCTATACTATGACTGTCATTGTATAGCACAGTGAGAAAAAGGGACCTGTGGAGTACATTCTGAAAACGTGAAGAGGCGTGCCAGCCAAGCTGGGGGAATCACTTCCTGGAGGAAGTGATGCCTGAGCTGAATTTGAAACAATATGTTACAAGGAGCAGGCAAAATGAGAAAGAAGGGCAGGGTATTCTGGTAGAGGGATCAGTCTGACTGTAGAACTAAAAATATTTATTGGGTTTATAAAATATAGGGGATTATTGGATACTGATGACTAGTGAGAGTGGTTTCTTTACATTATGGGGCATTATATCGTCCAATCCCAGACACTTTGGGGAGTAAAAAAGAAGTAACTGAAACTGTCCCGGGCAAATTAGAATGTATGGCCACCGCAGTAACTCACAGCCTGCCTTCTAGGAGCTCATCAATAGATAGCTATACTATGACTGTCATTGTATAGCACAGTGAGAAAAAGGGACCTGTGGAGTACATTCTGAAAACGTGAAGAGGCGTGCCAGCCAAGCTGGGGGAATCACTTCCTGGAGGAAGTGATGCCTGAGCTGAATTTGAAACAATATGTTACAAGGAGCAGGCAAAATGAGAAAGAAGGGCAGGGTATTCTGGTAGAGGGATCAGTCTGACTGTAGAACTAAAAATATTTATTGGGTTTATAAAATATAGGGGATTATTGGATACTGATGACTAGTGAGAGTGGTTTCTTTACATTATGGGGCATATATATATATATATACATGAAAATATATATCGTCTTGAACTCATGTTACCATGGAGGGAAGACAAAGTCAAGAAGTGGCGTGAGAGTTACAGAACAGGGCGGAGAGTGTTAACGGGACCTGAAGACAGGAAAATCTGAAGTGTATATATGTGTGGTGGGGGGCAGGGAATGACAGAAAAGGACCCCAGAGAGTGTGCCAACTGAGCTGCATGTGGAGAGCATGAGTAGAGGACTGTGCCTGGACAGAGGGTGTTCCACGCAAAGGGTGTGTCGGCGTATGCTGCAACTCCAAGGCCAGAGTTGTGGTGCGTTTGAGGAAGTGAAGTCATTCAGTATGAAGATGAGGCTGGAAAGTAGTCATTGAGGTCTAGTTAACTATTTTAGGAGCTTAAGCCTATTAAACTGGCGTTTGGAAGCCATTCAGGGAGAATAGAAATGATCAGAGGTATGTTTTTAAGAGAAGAATAGGATTGGAGCAGGGGAACAAAATTGTGAGAATAGGGACTACAACATTGTAAAACATCTATACTCCAATTTAAAAAAAAACTAACTTTACTATCTTTATTTTTAATTTTTGTCAACAATACCTCTGTGCTCTTTTAATCTTTGGTTACTTATTCTCTAGTTTTTAGCTTAATGGTTTGTTTACTAAACAAATAAACATAGAAGCTTTAATCCTAAAATAAAAAAATAAAATAAAGGCTGTTGCTTTGATGCCTGTCGTGTTAATAAGGTTTGAAAAAAAAAGGTTCTTGAGGTAGCCCAGGTGAGAAGTGACGGTGGCTTGGGCTGGGTGGGGGTGGAGGGAGGAAACAAATATTTGAAAGATATTTCACAGGTAGTCTCTGTGGGACATACTGATTTATTAGATTGGGGTGGGGGAGGGTGGGAGAGGAAGAAATCAAGAATGGACTCTGGATGGATTCCCATTTGATCAGATGATAACAAGAGGAGAAACAAATGTGGGGGAAAAGACAATGAGTCTGTTTTAGACATATTTAATTCAGTGTGATTACTGGTTTTTCAGGCTAACATCTCCCTGTTTTCTAAACATTATTCTTTAAAAGCTGTTATTTATATATTTATATGAATTGACCATTGCCTCCTTTTGTGCTACCTATGTGCCCTGTATAGAACTTAAAATGCCTATAAGCCTCCTGGATTATAAGCTCCATGAGGGAAATTCCCTGGTGGTCCAGTGGTTAGGATTCCTCGCTTCTACTGCAGGGCGGCATGGGTTTGATCCCTGGTCAGGGAACTAAGATCCTGCATGCCATGTGCTGCAGACAGATGGATGGATGGATGGATGGGTAAATAAACAAACAAACAAACTCACTCCACGAGGACAGGGGCACTTCTTACATCCCTGGAGTTCAGAATAGTACCTAGCACATAGTATTTTGTAAATATTTGAATGAATGCCACTTTATTTCCTTATTTACGTGTCAGTCACCTTGAAGATTAGGTCCTTGAAGGTGGGGCGGCCTCATGGTAATTTTTGCGTTTCCAGTGCCTGATACAGAGCCTGACTCACAGTAAGAGCTCAATAAATGTTACCTGTTGCTTCTGTTATTACTCTCTTCATCATCACCATCTACCATTTAAGCACATTTTTATTTTTGTTGATTTTTAGTCCTGGTTATTATGTAATGATAATTTAGGGTTTTGTTTTCCAAGGGGAGGGAGTCCTCAATTTTAGATGTTTAGATTTGACTTCAAAGGCCAAAGTCTTTAGCCTAATGCTGGCTGAGGTAGACATTATTTGCTGTGCTTAATTTCAGATACATCTATATAATGGGAATACAAGAAAGAAATGAGAAGTTGTTTTACAGAATACTGCAAGATGATATTGAAAGTCTAATGCCAATTGTATATACACCAACAGTTGGTCTTGCCTGCTCCCAGTATGGACACATCTTTAGAAGACCTAGGTAAGGCTTATTTTTTAAAATATATTTGCAAATGACTATTGCGTAGAAAAAAACATCACTTCATAGCCCCTATTACATTTCTATTTTATGTGTTGTAGTCTTATCCAACCACATTTCCCGCCTCACAAAAGCTTAATTTGGACCAAAAGGGATTAATAAAAATATAACATGTCATATCTTTTATTTTGTGGAAATACCATCATTTATTCCTAACCTTCTTTAAGTATTTATGATTGTTAGAGGAAATGTGCATTTTTGTACAAAAAAAAAAAACCCACAGTATTCTTAATTTTGGTGGCATATTCTGCAGAATAACCATAAAAGGTTTTGACAATCTGGCCAATCAAGAGATAGATTCTCATTTTTTATCAGCTTTATGTCTACTGTTTGTCCTTTTTTATGAATTTACACAAATTTTGCTTTCAGATAGTTCAAGTACCTCCAAATATTTTAAGTGGAAAGGGTACTGGAATGAGCATTGGCTCAAGTCTTTGAATAAGTTACTTTATTCCTCTGAATCTGTTTATCATAAGGTAGGAATACCAGTATCTTTCAAAGAGCTGCTGAGAAGGTCAGATGAGGAAACTGATGTGACAGTTTTTTGTAAACTTATAAGCATTGTATAAATGCTATTTTTACTTAATTTGAGTTTTCTTCTCTGTTCCTCTAACGTGTAATCATTTTCCACAATCCTTATGTTTTTCCCATGTCCTGCTTACATATTGATACAAATGTAGAAATGCAGGCACTGTGTGATAGCATTTATCTTCAGTCTCCTCTCATGCAGTCTAATGGCTTTCAAACTTTAATGTGCGTATGAAACATCTGTGGGGCTTACTTAAAATGTTGATCCTTGCCAACTTTCCTCTCCTTCCTGTTCCCAAGATTCTGATGAAAAAGAGAAAGGTCTGGAGGTCCGGATTGTAATGAACACCGTCGGTGATGGTGTTGCAGGTATTCCCCGGAAGACACTTTGAGAACACTGTCTGTTCTGTCCTATGTGCTGCCATCAATTAATATGTCTAAGCATTTCTGTGGTATAACCCAGCTGTTCAGCTCTTTTATAGTTTCATTTTCACTTTTAATAGTATTTCCCAATCCAGATTAAAGGACAAAGGAAAACGAAAAGATACTGATGCCTGGGCCCCAACCACAGAGATTCTGATTCAGTTAGTCTAGAGTTGGGCCCAGGTGTTGCTGTTTCATAAAATCTCCTGGTGTGATTTTGATGTGCACCCAGAGTTGAGAACTCACATGAAACATAAAGAGCTTTTGGGTGAGGGCAGATACTGTGTATCATTTGTGCAGTGGCCGTGGTTTTTTTGTTTGTTTTGTTTTTTACATAGAAGATGGTCAGTAGGTCTTGGTTGTTTAAGTCCAGGCTAGTTAAATCAGAATCTCTGGGGGTAGAACCCTGGCATTTTAAAAAGCTCATCAGATGGGCTTCCCTGGTGGCTCAGTGGTTGAGAGTCCGCCTGCCAATGCAGGGGACACGGGTTCGTGCCCCGGTCCGGGAAGATCCCGCATGCCGCGGAGCAGCTGGGCCCGTGAGCCATGGCTGCTGAGCCTGCGCGCCTGGTGCCTGTGCTCCGCAACGGAAGAGGCCACAACAGTGAGAGGCCCGCGTACCGCAAACAAACAAACAAATAAATAAATAAATAAAATAGAATAAAAAGCTCATCAGATAGATGATTCTACTATGAAGCTCTGGTTGAGAAACTGTTTAAACTGATTTAAGCTGGGATAGTAATGCCAAAGTTAAGATGTTGATGAGAAGAATGGATAAGCATCAGGGTCCTACTGTATAGCACAGGGCACTATATTCAATAGCCTTTGATAAACCATAATGGAAAAGAATATGATATAGAATGTATATATGTATGTATAACTGAATCACTGTGCTGTACAGTAGAAATCAACACAACATTGTAGATCAACTATACTTCAATAAAATAAATTTTTTAAAAAGGATATCAGTGAGAAAGTTAAGAATCAATTTGAAGGCACTGGGAGCCCATTGGCCCTCGTCTTTACTTGGCCTGTTTTCTAGAACCTATGTTTCTTTTTTCTGTCTCTCTTCCTGCCTTCCTCTCTTCCTTTTTTGAAATCTGGATTATCTCAATTGGATAACAATATACAGTGTTTAAAATAACTTTTTACTTTTTCCTAATGCTTCAAGGATGTATTTTTTATGTGAAATTACTATAGTTTTCTTCTCTCCCTTCCTGCTCCTTCAGGTTTCAAATTTTCAGTTTCAGTGACTTTTGACAGTAGTTTACTTAGCCTTATCGTGCTTTCCTGCATTGGTGGGTTGTCTTTATATTGCTTTTTACTGGAGGTATATTGAGTTTATTTGAATAGGAGATGTGGATACATTTCTTCTTGGGTAAAAATGATCACATCATTTAATAATAACCTTTGTTGCAGCTACTATGTGAACAATGCAATTACAGTTTGAAGTGGTTGAAAATATTTGAAAATAAACCTGTGTGACTTAGGTAAATCTGCTTGGAAATGACAGTGTCTTGATGTTTTATTAAAATATCTAAATATTCCAATTATGAACAAAAACTTAGAAAAAACCAAAAGCTGTTGTGAAATGCAAAAGTGTTTTTGTTCTGTTGCAGGGGATTATTTATTTCAATCTCAGACAGAGGTCATGTTAGATCAATTGTGGATAACTGGCCAGAAAATCATGTTAAGGTACTAATAGCACAACCTTCCTTTCACAATGTTTTTTCTTTCTATGTAAGTTACCTCTTACAAGGTAAAATTTTCAAGAACAGTTTTTTTTCATTGTTGCTCTGATTTATTTTGTACTTGCATACATGTAGATTTAGTGCTCTGAGGAAATCATGATGGTAATTATAAAATGGGTTACTGGTATAGAGTTTGCCCTGGGAAAGCAACTGGACCTAGTAAGGTGAACCTGTTCACTTCAGTACCACTGGTATCTCTTGCCTTCTCTATATATTCCTTTACTTTTTCAGTTAATATTATTCTAGGTAAAGAAAATACATTAAAATGCCATAAAAACTTTTATTCTGGTGGGCAATGGCGAGGATTCATTATGTCTTTCTTCTAAATCCAAGACAGATTTAGATCCTTAAGCAAATATAACACTCTTAGCATTTCAAATTTAGCAAATATAAACAGCTGTCAATCTGGCTGTCTTTCATAAAACAAAAACTAATGACTTATTTAAGATCTTTTGGTAGGCTTTAGTGTTTATTACAGGCAGTAATCTTACTTGCCTTTATTGCACGTCTTCCTCACCAAAATAATCTTTGATGAATTATCATTTGTTCTAATAACCTAAAAAAAAATTTGGTCAGATAATTAAATTCATAGTATCCTCTTAAAACCTTGTAGGTGTATTTTTTACTCTAGATTTTTTCCTCCATTGCTAAGGTTTTTCTTGTTTGGCTTCAGTTATTATTTGGAGTAACATGTTATTTCTAAACTCTTTTTTCCTCTTAGGGTTAATCTGTATCAGAAGTTCCCCTTCTCCCCTTTTTAGTCGTTGTGAACATATTCAAGTTGATCCTCTAGTCAGAAGCATTCTACTCCTAAACCAAAGACACAGGGAAATCAAATCTAGTTAATTCTCCTTTTTACATCTAGATTCTAGGAACCCTAGAATTTTAAGTATGCTTGGTTGGTTAACTTTGAAAGTTAGTTAAGAAACAATTTTATTTTTAAAAGTGAGAGTGAAACTATGTGAAGAGAATCTTTTTTTGAGGTTTTCTGTTTTGTTTTTAACAGTAGCTTTTCTGAAATAAAATTCACATACAATGCAACTCACTGGCTTAAAGTGTAAATTCAGTAATTTGTAGTATATTCACGGAGTTGTGCAGCCATCGTCATTGAGAACATTTTCATCACAGCTCCCTAATCCCCACCCTGCCGGAAAAGCCCTGTACCCATTAGTGTCACTCCCCCCTCAGCCCTAGACAACCACTAATGCACTTCTCTCTCTGTAGCTTTACATGTTCATGTGAATGGAATAATCTAATACGTGCTATTTTGTGATGAAGAGAATCTTTTTATGAATGTGTTTCTTAAGTGCTCCATTTTGGACAACTTATAATTTATTTTACTTTATTTTATTTGTAATTAAGGCTGTTGTGGTGACTGATGGAGAGAGAATTCTGGGTCTTGGAGATCTGGGTGTCTATGGAATGGGAATCCCAGTAGGAAAACTTTGTTTGTATACAGCTTGTGCTGGAATACGGCCTGATAGATGCCTGCCTGTGTGTATTGATGTAGGAACTGATAATCCAGTGAGTAAAATCATTTTCCCCCTTTGACCCTTCTCCCATATTAAAAAAAAAAAAAAAAAAAAACTGCTTTATTACATTCCTCTTTTGAAGAAATATAAGAAGAGAAAATTCTGTGATTAGATATTAGCCTTTGTCTTAAACACCTTTTAATATTTATGCAAATAATAGTAAATTAATACTATTAAGTTTTTTGAAGAAGGACAATAAAGTTTTAAAAATTATTAACTTCTTTATTTTACAATTTTTGTTTTATAGAATATGTTTAAACTGGTTATATAACAGAATGCTTTTATTTTTACGTTTGTTCTGTTTTATAGGCACTCTTAAAAGATCCATTTTACATGGGTTTATATCAGAAAAGAGATCGATCACAACGTTATGATGATCTGATTGATGAGTTTATGAAGGCCATTACTGACAGGTATTTTTTAAAAGTTTGAGTATATGAAAGCATCTCTTAAAAAAAGAAAAAGGAACCACAGTTTTGTTTTCCTTTATCTTTTGTGAAGATAGGTAGAAGGAGATTAAATTTTGGAGAACTTAGGTTCTTTCCTGCCTGATTCGATGTGCTGATGTATGGTGATACCCTCTGCCTTGCCTTCCTGAGTTATCTGACATCTTGAGCACACTGAAATCTTGAAGTCTGCACTCACTGCTCCTAAAATACCCTCACTGTGCAGTTCTTTCAACCCTTGGCATCCAGGCTAACTCCACCATTCCAGGGAAACTCATGTGCAGCTTTCGTGTTTTAAATTCGCTGACCATTTGGTCTCCTTCTCTCTCCTCCTCTTTGCAGCATCTGACCAGGTTTTCCACTCCTACATCCTTGAAATTGTTTTCTCTTGACCACTAAAAGACTTTCCTAACTTGGTCTTTCTCCCACCTTTTTTCTTTCCTTTGTCATCTCCACTGGTTTTTCTTCCTCTCTTATTAAATGTGGGTGAATACATAGTTCTCTTCTCTTCTCATAGTCTTGTAAGCTGTGACCTTTATGCACGTGACTCCTAAGTCCATGAATACCCATCTCTGTAGTCCCACATCCCTCTGAGGCTTGCGTTTCCAACAGTTGGAATCCTCCATCTAGACATTTTATTGCTCCTTCATATTCATGTCCAGAACAACTCCTTCCCTTTCTAAATTGCCTATCTTCTGTAAATCCAGCCTCTAGTAATGGCATTAACATGGTTGACAGGGTTGTCACCCACCTTTGATCTTGGTCTAATCTTTGACTCTTTCTCCTCCTCCATCAACCCCGTATAGTGTCACTCAGTCCTCACATCCAGTTGGTACTATCCCTTAAATGCCTCAGAAATATATCTCCTCTTTTCCATTGCCACAGCCTTTCTGCAGATCCTCATCTCTCTTTTGGATTCTTTAAAACCTTCCTCCACCTTCTCTCCATTTCCTCTCCACCTTACCACCAGATTAGTCTTTTAAAAACATGCACTTCGTTATATCATTCTTTTGTTTGAAATCTATCAGTGGTTTCCTGTTGCCATAGGGTAAAGTCCAAACTCTTTATGATCTAGCCCTGCCCTGCCTTGTAGATTACTGGTACATGGAAGATAGTAAAAAATTAACTCCTGGGCTTCCCTGGTGGCGCAGTGGTTGCGAGTCCGCCTGCCGATTCAGGGGACACGGGTTTGTGCCCCGGTCCGGGAAGATCCCACATGCCACCAAGCGGCTGGGCCCATGAGCCATGGCCGCTGAGCCTGCGCGTCCGGAGCCTGTGCTCCGCAACGGGAGAGGCCACGACAGTGAGAGGCCCGCGTACCGCAAAAAAAAAAAAAAAAATTAACTCCTTTTCAGAATCAAAGTTGACATATCTAAAACTAAACTTTTTATCTTCCCCCAAATTGCCGTCTCCTCCCCTTCCCCTCACTTCCTTACCTTGGACAATCAGATAGTATCTCTTAGTCATCCAGGCTGCCTTGGCATTTTAACAGCATCTCTCTCACTTCCCAGGTGGTCCTCGTGGTCAACTTCTTTTTGTTCATTCTGATGTCTCATAATTGTCCCTTTCACTTCCTGTGGCTTCTGCTTCAGATCTTGTTGTCCTCTCATAATAGCTGCCTAGCTATTTTTCCTTCTTTCTCATCTCTCCCCAGGTTGATATATGCTGTGTATCGCTGGCAGGTTTATCCTTCCTAAAGGGAGACTCAGATGAACTCTTCCCTTCTGTAGCCTTCAGTGATTCTAGATCAGATATGGAATAAAGTCCCCATTCCCTAATTTTGCATTCAACGTTCTCCGTTACCTGGCTCCAACCTACCTTAACCAACTTCTCCCTTATACTTTCATATAGACTCTGAAATATATAGCCAGACTGTTGAAAATTCAGGGTCAGCAAAATACACCTTGTTTTTCTTTCTACCGCTTTACTTTTTGTTGTTCTTTCAGGACCCAAATAAAGTCCCACCTCCTTTTCAAGCCTTCCCTTACTCCACCCCACCAAGATGATTGATATCTTTTTCTGAATGCCAGTCAACTCATACAGCAATTATTCTTTAACTCTTATTTAAGATATACTTTCCTGTGTTGCTGTTTAACTGTGAATGTAATGAAAATTCACATATCAAATATATACTTTTTGAGACTCAGAGACAAAATCTCTTGCTTTTTAGTAAGTTACTTGCGCTTACATGTGCTGGACACCCTCCTAGGCACTTGGTAATAGTTTATGCAGATTAATATCCCATAGGTCCATCATAGTGCTACATTCATTTTAAGAACCCCATACATTTTTCTGAATGAGTAATAGATTTTTCTAAATTTTGAGTTCTAGTCTTTCACAGACTGTGAAAATTGCCAGATGGCCTTAAACGACCTAACTTTGTACATTATTTTAAAATGTGATCATAAGGACTATTAGACAGGAAAGCTGTTTAAAAGTGGTATTTTCAACACAACTATTATGGGCTTTGCTGTTTTTAGATATGGACAGAACACACTTATTCAGTTTGAAGACTTTGGAAATCATAATGCATTCAGGTTCTTGAGAAAATATCGAGAAAAATACTGTACCTTCAATGATGATATTCAAGGTAAAGCAAAAGAAAACCTTAGGTTTTTGATTCCGACTTAAAATTTTTTTTAATGTGCCTACTTTTTACTTTACAATGTTTTACTTGTCTTACAGGGACGGCTGCAGTTGCTCTAGCCGGTCTGCTTGCAGCCCAAAAAGTCATCGGTAAACCGATCTCAGAACACAGAATCTTATTTCTTGGAGCAGGAGAGGTAAAGTTCCTATAAGCTTTTAGGATTGAAAACCAACACTCTCCTTTAGAATTGGAAAATGGGGTATAATGAACTTATAATTTTGTTGAGATAGAGGGTGTAAATTCAAGATCAGTGTTGTGAATAGGTAATTTAAAATGTTTGGAAAGAATATCACAAAGAATCAAGCTTTGTGTGCTTTGTAAGGGAAGAATAGACCCAGTATTCCTCATAACATAATTCTCATAAATAAAGTAATTTAGTGTTGCGTCATACTCTAGTCCTTGTTTTTTAAAATTTATGTTTTGTTGCACAGGCTGCTCTTGGAATTGCAAATCTTATAGTTATGGCTATGGTGGAAAATGGCCTCTCAGAAGAAGAGGCACAAAAGAAAATTTGGATGGTTGACAAATTTGGTTTATTATTTAAGGTAAGGTATTTAAAATGTGGAGAAGCAAAAGAATGTTGTTATAGTGATATGTTTAGTTTTTTTTCATATTCAAATCATAATCTCTGTGTTGGCACCAGACTTATTCTTTCTTGCTTTATTCTCTGACTCTTGACCCATCTAAAACCTAGTGGTTTTTCATAGGAATTCAGAAGTTTCTAATTAAATCATTAGCAGGACATCTGATATTTGAGCAGAAATTCTTTAACCCTTTGGAGATCATAATCTCTCGTAGCAATCTCATGGAAATCTAAGGACCTTTTCCCCAGAAAAAGGCACATATTCCTAAGGTCAAATGATGGATAATAAAGAGTTTTATCCCAGATCAACGTGGTATCCTTTGGACCTACCTGCCTTCCTATCATTGATTGCCATTTTTAGTAGCTTAAGAAATGCCTTATATCTTATACTGTGTAACACACTGAAATGTAGGTAAACTGTCTCATAGTTGAACTTATCCAGTATACAGTGCTGTTGTATTTTTGCCATATATGTTGATATAGAGGTTACTTGTCATCTACACCTTTGGGCAAGCTTCTGTTAGTGTACTTTGCTCCAGTTCTGAAATCTTTTCTTAATTAGTACCAGTATTCTATTAGTACAAAAAATGAAATGAAAAATTAAAGTATGTGAATGAAAAATCTTGGAGGCTTAAATTATAACTAATTTTTTTAAGTGTTTAAAAATGTACCAGACATTGTGATAAGACTTTACAGGTGTTATCTCATTTAAAGTTTTTTTAAAAAGTCTCATTTGATCTTATCAAAAATTCAGTGAAATTTTACAAATGAGGGAACGAGGTTTAAAAAGGTCAGCTCACTTTTCCAAGATCATCACCTTATAAGTGATGGAGGTAGGATTCACACCCAGGTAGCCTGACTGTGAATCCTATGCTCTTAATCATTCAACTGTGCTGCCTCCCAAAGCTGTAACTGCCATATTTGCTTGTATGTAAGATACAAGGATTACAGGACATTGTACTCGGAAGGCTATTGGGAGGTGTATCTGTTTTTACTAGTACACAATTATGTTGGTGTTTCTTTTTGTGATGTTGGTTTTTATAAATGTTTTGTGATTCTTTATCATATTTGTAATGAGTCGAGTTTAGAATGAATACAAGTGAAAAGAAACCCTGTGCATCTGCAAGTTCAGGGTATATTTTTCTTTTAAGATGAGTTTTAGGCTTCGTATCTCTCCTGAGGACCCAAAACACTGCCCTCCTTTCTGAGACTTTGAGAGTTTCCTGTTGAAGCCCTCATGGAAGAGCTGTGGTCTTCCTGGGAGCAGGCATGTGAAACCACTGTTCTGAAAACTTGGATGTGTTGAGGCTGTATTTCACTCATTTAATTACTTCCCAACCAAGTGATGATGATGTGCTACTTTTCCCAGCCCCTGCTGGTCCTTACCTGGGGTTATTCTGAAGTTCTGATGGAAAAAGTCACCGTTGCATGGGAGGTCTTCTCTTTTAACAAAATAAGGATTTCTCAGCCTGGTTGGTTTTTGCATTCCACATGTTTTTGTCTGCTTTACATTGTTGAGAAATTCTTCATTGTTCTAGTGTGTCAGTGGTATATCTTCTGCCCTTGTGACACTACTAAGGAGTTAATTTTTACAGTTTTTGACCTGGGATTTGGTGAGGAAAGTATGTTCCTTCATTCAGCTATCTTGAACCAAAATTCCCCTTTCCTCTTATTTCTGAACTTTTGGTAGTGTAAGTCCATGATGTCTATCTGAAATTCTGAAATCCTAAAAACTCTGAAATCCCTGAGTTTTTCTTCAAATTCATTTGGTAATAAATCTGACAGACCTGAACTTACCTACTAACTTTGGTAGCAAGACCAAAGAGGGTATTTCTAATCTTCACCTTTTGTACTTGGTGTGACTATTCATAAGTTCTGTTCAGTTGTGGAGTGCCCATTGCGAGGGTATTTGTGATGTATTATAAGACAGTTCTAAAGTATGAAATTCTGAATTTTAAAACACAGCTAGCCCAGATAAGGGATTGTGGGCCTTTGTGCCCTATTGGATTTAGGAGGACTTCACAGAGTAAATGAGTTTCTGAGAGGGATTAGTAAGTTTCTGGTTATAATGGAATTTGATTTGTGTTTTATATTTGGGTTTATGAGCAATATGAAGATAGAATTGGAAGATATGGGTTAAAAAGAAAGGTACATTGGGCTTCCCTGGTGGCGCAGTGGTTGAGGGTCCGCCTGCAGATGCCGGGGACCCGGGTTGGTGCCCCACAGCCCGCGGAGGGGCTGGGCCCATGAGCCATGGCCACTGAGCCTGCGCGTCCGGAGCCTGTGCTCCGCAACGGGAGAGGCAACAACAGTGAGAG